GAGTCTGAGGGCAAAGTGTTTGAACTGTGGATGAAATAGACACTCTCCTCTGAAAACCGCTCATTGGTCAAGTTCTGTACGGTAATTGGAAAGCATCATTTAGGAAAAGTTTTAAAGTCTGAATAAGCTCACATGGAAGAATATGATTGTCTGTAAGTGGCTCTTTGAAGTCCTTTCTACCTCTGCTTTGTTCTTGGTTTGTTTATGCTTTTTGGTGTATCTATATAATCAAGAAAAACTGGTATGTAATGTACGTTGAGCAACGTTTTGATTCAAAGAAAATGTTGATCAAAGAAAACATTAGACAATGCGACAGAAATTTTGGTAAATTTCCAATAATTTATTGTTTCTTTTGTTTGTATTTATGCTAAGAAACATTTTTGTTTCCCTCCAGGTAAGACATATTTTGATCATCTAGATTTTGATCATATTTAAGTTTTTCACTGTACATTATGCATCCCATGGAATATGTTGGTCTGGAACCAATCCCAGCTGTCATATGACTAGAAGTGTAGTACAACCAGTGCAATCAATGGGAACAGAGTGTAGTATTTATTAATTATTAAGGTTATTTAATCTGGTTTGCCTAGGAAGTATCACAGCAAGAATGGACATCAAACACATTTTATTCCATTGGGGGATGTAATATAAACATTCTTTTGTCCCTTTGTTGTGTGAGGTCTGGCTTGTTCACTTGAACCACAAGTGCTTTGCAGAATAGTGAGCCTTCTGACTCTTCTCTAAATGCAGTATTGTACGTAAAACTGTGCCTTTGTAAACTGTTGTTGTCGAACATGTTATTCACAAACCAGGTGGGTTTTTTCTTTTGCCGCCCCATTTTGATTGAACTTTTCCATGCTTCCCTCTACCTGGTGCTGCCTTGGATAAAACCAGATATTAAGGGTGATGCATTAATTACTCGGGCTCATGTATAAGTAATGATTAAAGTTTAATTAAAAGAGCTCTACTATCACAGAAATCCTTAGGAACTGATAAACAAGACCCATGCATAAGCACTGAAAGAGCAACCGCATTGATTGAATTTTCTTTCCACTCCAGGAAAAACGGATCATACAAATTAAAAAGTGGCCTGAGCCACACAGAAAAAGAGGACAGAGATGGAAGACAATCACTTCAATTCAGTGATTATAGATCTTGCTGGGTTTTTCATCGTCACTCTTGCGAGAGGCCCAATGCAATGATTAGCATTCAATGCTGGATCTTTGACAATGTGTGTCAAATGTGTGTGTGGCCCTGTGGTCATTTTGTTGTGTGTGGAAGCTTTTCTGTATATCGTGGAAATTGTAATTCTGGCCCTACTAACCCTCTGTTTGTCTGC